AGAATTGCTTGAACCCAGGAGGCAGAGGTTGCAGTGAGCTGAGATTGTACCATTGCACTCCAGCCTGAGCAACAGAGCAAGACTCTGTCTCGAGGGAAAAAAAAAAATCATCTGGGCATGGTGGTATGTGCCTGTCATCCCAGCTACCCAGGAGGCTGAGGCAGGAGAATCAACCTGAACCTGGGAGGTGGAGGCTGCAGTGAGCTGAGATCATGCCACTGCACTCTAGCCTGGGCAACAGAGTGAGACTCGGCCTCAAAAATAAACTAAAATAGTAAAATAGTAAGGCTGGGGATGGTGACTCATGCCTGTAATCCCAAAACTTTGGGAGGCCGAGGCGGGTAGATCACCTGAGGTCAGGAGTTGGAGACCAGCCTGACTAACATGGTAAAACCTGTCTCTAATCAAAATACAAAAAGTAGCTGGGCATGGTGTATATGCCTGTAATCCCAGCTAGCCAGGAGGCTGAGGCAGGAGAATCATTTGAACCCAGGAGGCATAGGTTGCAGTGACCAAGATTGTGGCACTGCCCTCCAGCCTGGGCAACAAGAGTAAAACTCCATCTAAAAATAAACAAACATCGAGACCATCCTGGTCAACATGGTGAAACCCCGTCTCTACTAAAAATACAAAAAATTAGCTGGGCATGGTGGTGCACGCCTGTAATCCCAGCTACTTGGGAGGCTGAGGCAGGAGAATTGCCTGAACCCAGGAGGCGGAGGTTGCGGTGAGCTGAGATAGCGCCATTGCACTCCAGCCTGGGTAACAAGAGCAAAATTCTGCCTCAAAAAAAAAAAAACAAGGAGTCTGAGCACTGGAGGGAGTTTGGGATGCTCTACACCAGGAACCCCCCACCAAATGTTTAATTAGGGACACAGTGTGGAATGCTTCCAACACTTAAAAAAATTTTATTTATTTAATTTACACAGACAGAGTCTCACTATGTTACTCAGGCTGGTCTCAAACTCCTGGCCTCAAGTAATGTTCCTGCTTCAGCCTTCCTAGTAGCTGGGATTACAGGAGCGAGCCACTGCACCCAGCTCCCTCAAACACTTTAAAAGGAAGCTCAGGTCAATGTGAGAAGAGGGCCCATTGTTTCTCCCTCACTGCATTTAATGTCCAAACTCTTTTAACCGATCCTTAATAATAACTTCTTCCCTCTTTTAACCGATCCTTAATAATAACTTCCTCTATGTGACTACGGCCTCAGGACATGGGCTGTGCTGTGGCTTTGGGGCCCAGTCTACGTCCCCCTCTTCCCAGCACTGTTTCATGTCAAAAGACCTGGGAGCTGTTCCAAGGTAAGCTTCCTGGGCACAGACCTTGTTTGCTTAACCAAACAGGGTGCCATTAACACCTGCAGCCCTACCTGCTCACCTCTGATTCACCTTATCCAGGCATAGGTCTTAGGCAGGACTGCCATCCAACCCTGTTTGTAGGCTTCGGAGGCAAAGAGGTAATGTGGAGCTGGGAATGGGGAGACTGATGAGGGAAGGTTTCTTTCTGACCCACTCAAAGGTTCTGCTGGCTAATGGGCAGTTTACGGTATTGCTGGATATTTCCAAGACTCCACAGACTCAAATATTCATACATGACACTCCCTTTGGCAAAATTCTCTTAAGTACTCCAGACAGCTAACCTCAGAGCAGGGCCTCAGTGTGCAAATGGTTAATGACCATGAAAAGCAAACTGGAGGCCAGGAGAAGTGACTCATCCCTGTAATTCCAGCAGTTTGGGAGGCCGAGGTGGGAGGACTGGTTGAGCCCAGGAGTTTGAAACCAGCCTGAGCAACACAGAGAGATCCCCCCTCTACAAAAAAATTTAAAATTTAGCAGGGCATGGTGGCACGTGCCAATAGTCCCAGCTACTTACAAGGCTGAGGCAGGAGGATCACTTGAGCCCAGGAGTTTGAGACTGTAGTGAGCTAGGATCATGCCACTGTACCTGGGTGACAGGGTAAGACCTTATCTCAGGTTAAAAAAAAAAACAAAACAGAAAGCAAACTGGAGTTATAGAAATGGGGATAGTTCAACCCAACGCCTGCTTCTTTCCACCCAGGGACAATCACTTGAGGGCTATTCCCAGCAGGAGTGATTGGTGGGCATTTACTCCATTCCTGAGAAGCTGACAGTCCCTCTAAGTAAGCAGGTGCAGACACTCTATCAAAAGCCCAGCTTTCCACACCATGATTTAGAGATGGATGCTGAACCCAACTTCAAAATTTATCTCAAATGGAACCATCTTTTTTTCCCCCAGACTCCAGAGATCTGAAAGGTAAGGGAAGTGATGTTCCACTAATTCCTGAGTACTCAGAGTGTGGTATGTGCACTACTCACTGAGAGCTAGTTAGAAATGCTGACTCTAGGCTGGGCATGGTGACTCACGCCTGTAATCCCAGCACTTTGGGAGGCAGAGGCGGGCAGATCACTTGAGGTCAGAAGTTGAAGACCAGCCTGCCCAACATGGTGTAACATCCGTCTCTACCAAAAAATACAAAAATTAGCCGGCATGGGTGGCATGTGCCTGTTGTCCCAGGTATCAGGAAGGTGAGGTGGGAGGATCGCTTAAACCCAGGAGGTGGAGGTTGCTGTGAGCCAAGATCGCACCACAGCATTCCAGCCTGGGCGACAGAGGAGACGCTGTCTCAAAAAAAAAAAAAAAAAAAAAAAGAAAGGAAGGAAGGAAGAAAGAAAAGAAAGAAAGAAAGAAAGAAAAGAAATGCTGAATCTAGTCCCCAACCCCACCTACAGAATCAGAATATACCTTAAATGAAGACCCCAGTTATCCTTATGTACCTGGAAGAGTGAGAGGCAGTATTCTGGTCTGGAGCCAAAGGGTCCCAGGATGTGACCATTTCAGCTTCTCTGCCCTGGCAGAAGTGGGCTAAGGTGGGCTTTGGAGGAAGAGTCCACACCTTGGCTAATCGAGGCTGACCAGGCTTGCTTGACTTTAGTAGAAGTAAGCCGGATTTCCCTGGCTTAGGGACTGGGAGCTGTACCTGCTCCACAGGCCGCCCCAAAGAGTGAGCTGGCTTTAGGTTCCTGGCACTGCTAGCTTCTTCCAGTAATCTCAGAAACATATGCCATGTCCCAATGCAGAAGCCCCTTCTCCCTTCCCGCTACTGCTAAAGACCTTCAAAGTGAGTGGGATTTGCTGTCAGCCCCCTGACTACTCTCCACTTCCCAATCCAAAGTGAAAAGTGGATTCAAAGTTCCTATATTTTACATTTATTATTTATTTTAGAGATAAGGTCTGCAGTGGTCAATCATAGCTCACCACAGCCTCCAATTCCTGGCCTCAAGCGATCCTCTGGCCTCAGCCTCTGGAGTAGCTAGGACAACATTCTTTTTGTTGTTGTTTGTTTTTTTTGTAGAGATGGCATCTCACTATGTTGCCCAGGCTGGTCTTGAACTCCTGGCCTAAAGCAATTCTCCTGCCTTGGCTCCTCCCCAAAATGCTGGGATTACAGGCATGAATCTTGGTACCTCGGCCAGAAGTGCCTATAAACAGTATCCCTGGCTTCTAATTTGACCCAACAATCCAGCAACAAAGGGTGCAAAAAGAGGCTCCCTGTTCCTTCAGGCCAGCCTCAGGGCCCACCCTGAACGAATCCAGCAGACACTTACCCCCTCAGTTGAAAGAACTCCAAAAGTGTCAGGAATTGGCCTGGTAGACCATTGTGACAGAGACAAAGGAGAACAGCATGGACTACAAGTGAAAGAGGATGAGTCGGGAGTGGCAACAAGAGCGCCTGCGAGCTTCTCCTCGGATCATTTCTAACAGAAGAGGAAGCATTCCTCCTTTCTCTGCCTGGTTGCTATTTCTTGCCCAATCTGGGAAAACGGTGTGACAATGGACACGTGTTCCAGCTCTGAGGCCTCAGTGCCTGGCTCTGTAGAACAAGGCGGCAGAGTTGGACAAGATCCCTAACCGTTCTAACAGTGTATGTTTTGGATCGAACGGCAGAGGACCTCGGATCCGGCTGTGCTTGCTGCCGGTGGGGCAGAATCTGCCTGAGAAAATAAGCATTTGGCCCCCACCGCCACCGAGCCAAGCGCCGGGATCTGTCGCGTTTTCCAGTAGTTTGGAAAGCAGCGTGGAGGAGGATGGAGGCAGAGGAGCAAAAGGAGTGGGGGCAGTGCAAGGATGGGACCGGAGTGGTGAGCCACGAGGATTTATTTCATCATGCAAACAGGAGCGTAGGTTTCATCAGCGCCTGTGCGCTGCGGCTCCGGGGCTGGGAGGGAATGCCAGGTTCCTGAGGGCAGCCCGAGGCTGTCCACCCCACCCGTGCCAGCTCAGCTTCCTCTTCCTCATCCTCTCCCAGGGAGGTCACACGGTGCCTCCTCCTCCCCCCGGACAGAAGAACGTGCTTTTCTGCACAGCCCGGCCCGTGGCGACAGGCCCCTCCGCGGAGATCTCACTTGCATAAATGGGGAACGTGCCACAGGTGCCCGGGAGGTGCTGCTGGAGCAGGGGAGCACCCGCAGACCCAAACCTCCGTCAGAGCGCGAGTGTCCAACGCAAAACTAGGGGTGCCTCGGGAAAAAATCAGGGCCCTGTAGAAATCATTTATCCCAACAGATAAATAATAAATTTATCCCAACTCATCCCATAAAAACACCAGGCCGAGCCTTTCTTGGATCGTGGGCCACACTGACCCCGCCCTATCTCGCCTGGGGAGCGCCCCCAACATCCACAAGGGGCAGCACAGCTCGGCACGTGGCAGTCCTGGAGGCGTGCTTGTTAGTTAGGTGTCAGCTGTCTGACACCTAACAGAAAGAGGAAACGAACGGGGCAGTTTGCAGCTCCGGTCTGGACGACGCACTCGGAGGACAGCCGGGCGGTCACTTCCATGACCCTCGCTGTCTCCCCGACGCCCCTTCTCCGTTCTTCCCAGCCACAGCACCCTTTAGCCTGGACGCCCGGTCCGATCCGCGATTCCCAATCCTCCCGCCCTCCCGGGAGCCGGCACGCGGCGTCCCCGAGCCAGCGCCTACCTCCCGGGGTGGTGCTGAAGAGCGTGCCTCCGGGGGTCGTACTGTAGTCCCCGGGCGGGAGCTGCACGCCGTCGCCGAGCACGACCCGGCGAGTGGCGGGGATGGCTCGGCTTGGGGTCTGGCTGCAGCTGCTGCCCCCGGACATGGTCTCCTGTGCGCTGCAACCGCGAACCTCTCCCTGCCCTCCCGCGCCTGCAGCCTCGCTCCGCCTCGCCCCGGCCCGCCCCGCCCCAGGACGCCCCTTCCGCCTCTCCAGGCCCACGCCCCTGGGATTTGTAGTCCGCGCCGCAGCCCCACCCAGCTCCAGGCCGCTGCTTGCACGTGGATTCTCCTGCCGCCCCCCGATCCACGCCCGCCTGCTCACGGGCTCCTCCATACCGCCCCCCAGCGACTGCTCCTCCGCTCTCGGGTCCCTCGGCGCCACTCTGGCAGGGACCAGGGTGGGGTGGCGGGCGGAATAGCTCGCCTATGTTAATCCTTGTCTGGGTTGGGGGCGGTGACTCAGGACCGCGCGGAGATCCGAGCTGACCCGGCCCACTGCAGGAAGGCCCGGTTTCTGCATTAAGACTTCAGGCCGGGTGTACCCTTTGGCACTCCCTGTTCGTTGCCTCAGTTCCTCAGATGAGAAAGTGGGATTGACTGGTCATGCTCACCCCACCTCAATTTCTTGACCTTGATGGGGATGGGTGTGGAGGGACTAACAATTCCGCTCCTGGCCTTTAGAGAGGAAGAGAAGGGGTGGGAGGAGTGAACCAACCAGCAGCGTCCTGGGAGCTAAATTTAGAGTTGGGGGCGGCCGGGAGGGGGGACGCGTAGGGGAGGAGTAATAGTTTGTCCAAGAGGTTTCCCGATAGCCCCTGAATTGGGTCCAATACCCACGCCACTGCCTGAGGTTTAGTAGGTACTTCTTGGTTGGATTGACGGATGTTTAGTAGGTACTCTTTGCTGGATGAATGGATGCATGCATGGATGATGTTCAAGGGGAGAGAGAAAAATGCAAGAAGGACCGAGGATGGAAAAACTTGTTGGGTTTGAGAAGTTCCTATCATTGTGTGCACATGTTGTGGGGAAGAGGGTGAAGAAGAGAGGACGATTCGAAAGGGAAATTGGGTGATGCACCTGTAATCCCAGCTGCTTAGGAAGCTGAGGCTGGAGGATTGCTTGAGCCCAGAAGTTGGAGGCTCCCGTGAGCTGTGATCACACCACTACACTCCTCCTTGGACAGAGACCTTATCTCTAAAAAATACGTAATAATTTTTCAAAAAGGAAATTGAGGTCAGGTCGTTGAGTTTTTCAAATCATGTCAAAGTGCTTGGACGTTGTCTTAGAGAGGCAGGAGACATCAGAACTCTTTTAAGCGGGGGAATGACATGATTAGAGTTGTTTTTTTGGAACGATAACTAGTGGCCATTGAAGTTTTGGGATGGGCCAAGGAGGGCAAGGTCCGAGATGGGGAGAGCTGTTGAGTTTGGTCTCACTTTTTTTTTTTTTTTTTTTAGACGGAGCCTTGCTCTGTTGCCCAGGCTGGAGCGCAGTGGTACAATCTCGGCTCACTGCAATCTCTGCCTCCTGGGTTCAAGTGATTCTCCTGCCTCAGCCTCCTGAGTAGCTGGGACTACCAGTGCCTGCCACCTAATTTTTTTAATTTTTAGTAGCGATGGGGTTTCACTGTTAACCAGGATGGTCTCGATCTTCTGACCTCGTGATCCACATGCCTCAGCCTCCCAAAGTGCTAGGATTATAGGCATGAGCCACCGCGCCTCTGTCACTCTTGAGCTAAACTTTGACCTACAGTGGCTAACACAGTAGCCATTAGCCACAGGTACACACTGAGCACTCCAAAGGTGGCCAGTCCAAACTGCCACAAGTTTAACATACACAATATTTCAAAGATTTAGCATGAAAAAAAAAATGTAGAATACCTGAATAATTTGTTTCTATATTAATTATATGTTGAACTGATAATATTTTGAGTATTCTGGGTTAAGAAAAATACATTATAGGCCAGGCACGGTGGCTCATGCCTGTAATCCCAGCACTTTGGGAAGCCGATGGGGGGTGGATCATGAGGTCAGGAGTTCAAGACTGGTCTGGCTAAGATGGTGAAACCCTGTCTCTATTAAAAATACAAAAATTAGCCAGGTTAAAAAAAAAAGGGCAGGTAACTCAATACAAAAGCCAGCAGGTTAAGATCTGAGAGGAACTTGTCTGTTTACCCTTTGGGGTTCCATAAGGAAAAACAGGGGCTTCTCCTAAAAAGAAGTCTGGCATCTTCTCTGTTTTCTTTAAGGACTCCCAAGCTGTTTGAAATTTATTATTATTATTATTATTTTTTGAGATGGAGTCTGGCTCTGTTGCCCAGGCTGGATTGCAGTGGTGCGATCTCGGCTCACTGCTATCTTTTCCTCCAGTGTTGAAGCAATTCTTCTGCCTCAGCCTCTCAAGTTGCTGGGACTACAGGCACCCGCCAGCACGCCGGCTAATTTTTGTATTTTTAGTAGAGATGGGGTTTCACCATATTGGCCAGAGTGTTCTTGAACTCCTGCCCTTGTGATCGACCCACCTTGGCCTCCCAAAAGGCTAGGATTACAGGTGTAAGCCACTGTACCTGGCTGTTAGAAATATTTAACATCCCTCAGGCAGCAGAGGGTGACAAGAGGAAGGAGAGACAGACAGAAACACATGAAGAAAACAGAATTCAGTCAACTGAGAAGAAAAAAAGGCTTTTTTCTCAAAAAATGAGATCCTAGGAGAGAAAAACACCTAAAGACCTTTTAAATATATATCTAGGCCAGGCGCGGTGACTCATGCCTGTAATCCCAGATCTTTAGGAGGCTGAGGCAAGAGGATTGCTTGGGCCCAGAACTTTGAGGCCAGTCTGGGCAACATGGGGAAACCCATCTCCTAACCTCATGATCTGACCACCTTGGCATCCCAAAATGCTGGGATTACAGGTGTGAGCCACCGTGCCCGGCCTGAATTTTCTTAAAAATCTTTAGAACCCTCCTAAAATCATCCACACTTCCCCACTTCCCTTTCCCCTAACAAAAAGGCTGTATAACTGTTGGGTTCACTCTGGGTGGTTGGCAAAATATTAAGGGAAATATTAGGGAAGTTCTAAGATTATAGTCTTGGCTGGGTGCGGTGGCTCACGCCTGTAATCCCAGCACTTTGGGAGGCCTAGACGAGCGGATCACGAGGTCAAGAGATCAAGACCATCCTGGCCAACATGGTGAAACCCCATCTCTACTAAAAATGCAAAAGTTAGCTGAGCATGGTGGTGCACACCTGTAGTCCCAGCTACTCAGGAGGCTGAGGCAGGAGAATCATTTGAACCCAGGAGGCGAATGTTGCAGTGAGCTGAGATCGCACCATTACACTCAAGCCTAGCAACGAAGACTCCGTCTCAAAAAAAAAAAAAAAAAAAAAAAAAAAAGACTATAGTCTCAAACCTTTTGGAAGGCGGAAAGGTTTTCAGTAACTTGTAATAATGGGACGGACTGAAGGCAGCTAGCTGGTCCTTACCTTAGAGCATTAGGTCATAGGGTGAAGATTAGTGATAATAGAAGCTTCCCCAGTTAAGTCGGTTTACCTCACATTCCTTTGTCTCTACTCTAAATAGTTGATTACTCTTGTAAACTTTGTCCCACATAGCCCTCTGGGGGCCGGGCGGGGAAGGGGGATTACTCATTAATGGTGTTTGTTCTGGGCCTAGGAACCAAAGCTTTTTTTTTTTTTGAGACGGAGTTTCACTCTTGTTACCCAGGCTGGAGTGCAATGGCGTGATCTCGGCTCACCGCAACCTCCGCCTCCTGGGTTCAGGCAATTCTCCTGCCTCAGCCTCCTGAGTAGCTGGGATTACAGGCATGCGCCACCATGCCCAGCTGATTTTCTGTATTTTTTTTGGTAGAGACGGGGTTTCACCATGTTGACCAGGATGGTCTCAATCTCTTGACCTCGTGATCCACCCACCTCAGCCTCCCAAAGTGCTGGGATTACAGGCGTGAGCCACCGCGCCCGGCCCCTAAAAGAGGTTTTTAATACCTACTTTTAGATTGCATTCCAGCCTGGGCAATAGAGCAAGACTCCTGTTCTCTCTCCCTCTTTTCTCTTTCACTTTCTTTCTTTCTTTCATTAAAAAAAAATCCAAAGCTACTAAGGAGAGATGCTGTTCACAAGGATTTCTTGCAGTGTGAAAAACTGACCATTGTCAGAAGGGAAGGGGAACTATTTCAGTAGGGAGAGATTTCTGACCATAAAAGCATCAAAAGTTTCAAGCATTAGGCAAAAAAGGGTGGGGGTTTATTTTAGGGGTGAGTAAGCCTAAAATCCTTTTTGGGGAAGTGGAAAGAAAGGGAAAAAAAAATGGCTTTAGAACAGGAGAGAGAGAGAGACTGGGAGAGACTCAAGTGGGTGAATTGAAGAACAAGCATGGTGTTTAACCTTGATCCTAGGACTTCATAGGCCCTTTCCCATGATTCTTCCCTTAGGGTGGGCTGCCTGCAAGCACAGTGCCCTCCTTACCCTGGGGAAGTGAGCATGCGCAGTGTATTTAGGAAGTTGTACACATGTCCATCTGAGGCTTTCTTCCTTTTTGTGGTGGAGTACTCCTGGAAGGTCATATTCCACCTTTTTTTTTTTTTTTCGAAGGGAGTCTCACTGTTATCAGCCTGGGCTGGAGTGTAACGGCTCAATCTCAACTCACTGCAACCTCTACTTCTTAGGTTCCAGCAATTCTCCTGCCTCGGCCTCCTGAGTAGCTGGGTTTACAGGCATGCACCACCACACCCAGCTAACTATTGTATTTTTAGTAGAGATGGGGTTTCACTCTGTTGGCCAAGCTGGTCTCGAACTCCTGACCTCAGGTGACCCACCTGCCTCAGCCTCCCAAAGTGCTGGGATTATAGGCATGAGCCACTGCGCCTGGCCCCACCATTTTTTCTCTTAGTGTGCATGCTCAGGAAGTTGCTTTTCCCTGACCTCTGCATTCCATTACACTTTAGTGCCACAGGTGTGAGCGATCAGGAAATGTCCTCTCCCTGGTGCTGGCTGCCAGTTTATCATTCTAGAGAGGCAATGTGATAATTGCCAAACCATCACCCTACATTCCTAGTGGGTAGGGAGAGAGAGAGCCCTCTCCTGCCCCGCTCATGCCTGCCTAGCTACCTGTAACAGCTCCATGGGCTCAAGGCTTTACATAAAATCTAGTGGCTCAGAGTAGGGTCTGCAATTTTTACCACATCCTAGGCTTAATATTCTTTTTTTTTTTTTTTTTTTTGACAGAGTTTCACTCTGTTGCCCAGGCTGGAGTGCAATGGTGAGATCTTGGCTCACCACAACCTCCCCTTCCCAGGTTCAAGCGATTCTCC